GCATCGCTTCTAGTAACAGGTGCCTTACTAGTAGTAACAAGAAGCTATTTATTTAAATTTTGCTGTCCCAGGACCGTGGTCGAAGCCTCGAGGACACACGGGTCTTTTTCAGAGGCATGGCCATCCCACACCACTCGGATGGAGAAAAACAAGAAGGACCCTATACTGATCAATCAAGGAAAACTTGTGCAACATAGTGCAAACAGAACCGATAAACTAAGGAACATGTTGCACTTCATAGTGACATAGTGATCCAATAGGACTTCTGCAATAAGGAAAACATAGTGCAAAGCCTGGACAACAGAACCGATCCCCTTGGGTTTCAAAAGCTGCAGGCCTTGTAGCCGCCAGGATGGTGGCGGAGATCGCGCCGTCGCTCCAGCCCACCACATTGTAGGAAGGGATGCCTCTCACCATAAAACTGAGTAACCCATAAAACTCTTTTGCAAACCATACTCCATACTATTCCATACTGACTCATACTAATAATTGGTCTGTTTCTTTTTACAAACACCACAACGCGATAAACCGGCGTGGATGACGAGAGGGCACGCACAAAACGGGCCCATTCCGACCCATTGCGCAGCGGTTCCTGACTCAAACGCGCACACCCCGATGTTGATGACGGGCAGGGAGGACAGCGTTCGACATTGATGGCATTTGGTCCACTGGTGGACTTGATCAATTGCTGCAGAGATGTGGGGCGGGTGCTGTGATCTGCCAGAAGAAGGACTGCAAGCTCCTTTGCACTCCGCCCAAGATCTATTCTGCTCTATGACCTTCTTAGGTGTCGGATGCTGCTTTCAGGCTCCCACGTGACACTCATCTCAACATTCGGCGTGGTCTAAGACTCGCTTTCGCGGGTCTCTTGTGCACCAACTTTGGCGCTGTGCTGTAAGCAGCAAAAACAACGCACTCTCTGGAAGACGTGCAAAAAGAAAGAGCTATCAATGTTGCAAACTAGTTCTCTGTGGCACATGACTTGTTCAATGACAGAAGCACAACTACAACTACTTGCTCGCCGACAACTGGGCCTTCCAGTGGGAGGCGAGTGCAGCGGTCGACTATAACGTTATCAAACAGCTGCAACATGAATCTGTGCATCACAAGGGAATGTGATGGAATATGTGTGGCTCACAACATATTCTCAGTGTATGTACAAAGGAGTGGAGTAAACTGAGCCAGTTTCAACCTGTACAATAAGGCCCCCAGCCTCCAAAACCACAAACATGGCTGGCATATCAACACAGTAACAGTAACAAACATAGAAGGCCTAAGGAGTCCATGATGGCACCCGCATCTTGAGCATCCTCAGCACGTCAATTCGAGAACTTTCGAAACTAGCAAATACAGGAAGAAACTGCTGGCCGCTTGGGGCTTTCCAAACATGTGTCAACCTTAGGATAAGAAGAAAGGAGGCAAAACTGTGAGCAACACTTTCACCACTAAACCTGAAACCTGGAGCACAACAGCGTAACACCCAGTCTCTGGACTCTGTGTACGCACAACTCCAGGTGAAAACGGAGCGTGGAATTCCCACCAGTGTTGCGGCAGAACCTCCACACCAAACGCCAAACTCACCATCCACGCCCCAGGTCCACTCACCATCTTCTGCCAGGAGTCTAAATGATAGAAATCCGCTGGGTAGCGCCGCCCAGGGGGCCTCGACCTGGAACATCGAGTCAGACTCTTCTCATCGCCGTGTTGAAGTTGGTTCCGCTGGTTGGAAAAGCTTGGCGGTGATCGGTCTGTATGCTTCTTGGAAAACACATACAAAGCCATCCACATGTTTCTTTATTTACATACAAAGCAAAATCGCACTGACCACGACTATATATGCGGAATGCGGAAAAACATAAAGACCATTCATTTTCTCATTTTTCTCCCAAGGCACTTCCCATATCCTCGCGGGTCGAAGGCCACGACGCCCAGATGTGGTGCCCAGCCGTCCAGCTGCGCCGAGAAGTCCGTGAGCGCGGTGCCCATGGCGCCCGGCAAACAGATCACTGGACAGCCTGGTGGAGAAGCGGAAGTGGCTGGATCCGAAGAATTTTGACTGGATTCCGAAGAAACAAACAGAGGTTGAAGAACCCTATACTACAAATAACATATATATATATATATTATAATGTATTATATAGAGACCATCCCAAAGATGCTCAATGATGCTCAGGTGACGTGTCCTATTTACGGTCACTTGACCTCTCTAGGGTCTCTTGGAATGGCAAGAAATGAACTTGGATGTCTTCTGCCAAAAAAGTGTAGAGGCGCTGCATGGGATGGAGCTGTAAACGCATCTAAACACCCCTGTAAGGACTTCGACGGTCTATGGACAATGGAGATGGAGGTGCTTGGAGCTAAATGATCTGTGGTGAGGTCTCGTATGGTCTTGTGGTACTCTGTCTTAGGAGCCAGTGGTTAGGAAACTCCATGTAGCTCCTTGTTTAAGGGGTAATATGGATACCCCCAGCTCCGAATCGCTCCCTCCTGACCACCAACTGGGAGCTGTTAGTAGCGTCTCCTTACTAATTAGTAGCGATGCCCTTGTTACTAGTAGCTTGTTGCTGCTAGTAACATTACTACTAGTAGCTGGAAGCTACTACTAGTCACTAGTCGAAGTATTCGACCAATTCCTCGCCCCTGATTTCACGTGATTTCCGCCTTTGGCCACATCTCCTCGGGTGACGACATACCTCGCTTCCAAGGTTAGAGCGAGCATCGCCCGAATCAACTGACATTCATAGGTCAAGTGTGGCCAAATATCTAGCAGTACAGTAATATCTAGCTTATTTGTTTACACGTGTGGCTTCTTGTGTATGTCAATGTACAAGTAAAGTGACTCCTATTTGTTACTTAGTAACTGCCAACACCACTTCATTTCAACCTCTTGGAGCAAGACATATGAAAGATGACGAAAGCGTCAAAAAAACGACCTGCAACATGCAACTTGCAAGCCCTGTCAAAGAGTGACACTCCACTCTTTTTAGGCCTGAACCAGCTTCACAAGCTTAAGGCTTTTTTCAACAAAGATTCCACGTGCACAAGAGGTTAAAGTGGATGAAGAAAAACCTTCGAGATTCTTGAACATTTCATGAAGCCTGAACAGGTAACAGGTAACTTTCATTGGCCCATTCGCAAAGAATATGTTCCACTTGCGCGCACGCACACACACGCAAACAAACAAATGAGGCCTTACTCATGGAGCCATATGGAGCCATATGGAACCCGACCCCAGCATGATATGACCGTTTGTCAAGAACGCCCTATCTAACCTATATGTCGTATCCTTGTTGCTTAGGCTTGGAGGAGCCTTTTGAGAGCCATTTGGCGCAGCTTGGTCTGCTTCTCCCTCCGGAGTGGTCAAGACGCAGCTTACGTCCATTCACCTCCACAAACTGCTCGCCAGACGCCACGCCACGTGCGTGCACGGGTGCCAGTTGGCGGGTCAGCAGCCGGAGGCGCTGAAAAGCGCTCATAGGTGCTATGAAAGGCTAGGGAAAAATTAAGTGTTCAAGCCTGTTGCAGCATAATCTTCTAGTATTTGGTCTTCCAATTTGGTTGGAAGGAAAAACAAGAACAGGCCTGCTGAAGACATGAAACAGCTGTCCAAGAAATCGGCATCGAAAGGCCATCTTCGTTTTGAGTGCAATTTGTTGCGAGAATGTCTTTCTTGAGCCAGCGACAAACTAACTAAACATCAAGGTTCAACCAATTCCGTCAAATCGACACCGGCGCTCTGCTCGGGTGTGGCGAAAGCTTAGATTTCCACAAAGAGTATCAATCGTTTGATATGAGTACCCACCCTCAATGAACTCCCCACTGATTCGTTGAAGAATTTCCCGCCCCACCTCGGTGACCAAACGAGAGCAAATCAAGTGAAAGACCGCCAAGTCAATGTTCTCTGAGCAAAGAAGGTCATCCTGCGATGACATATTCGTGGTCAAACTGTGGTGGGAGATATGACCGTGACACGGCAGCTGTACCTTTGTTATTAATAGCTCCCAAATGTTTCTAGATCACTCATGATCATTCCATGATCTTGTCAGATTTGACTATCCGAGAACAGCGTGCATATGCGTGCATTAATCAAGAAGCTTGAGCAAAAACTCAGCCAACGAATCTAATTATGCGCTTGCACTGGCCAAAGCCGCGTTCATTAAACCTCCTGTGTTTCTTCACATCTTATTCAATATCACGATGCCTAAAATCACTCGACCCAAGCCAACACCTCTCTGAGAGGTCTCCTCTGAATTTGCGAAGTCCTTTCAATTTGAAGGACGGAGTAACCCGACAACCCAACAACCATCTGCGTCATTTTGCTCCTCGTCACTGGCCTCCTCGGAGCCTCAATCGATTGCTCAAGGGTCAACACTCATCAAATAGGGTCTCTGGTTACTCTGGTTCTTGTTCAACCGGACCAAATATGAACACCTCAAGAATGAGGGCTCAGGCCGTGTCCCTCGGCCACGTGGACCGTGGACCAGTTACTTGGCTTGCCAGTGTCTGGATCACTACACTCACTGCCCCCTTGCTACTCGCCGTCTGCTGACTTTCAGGGGTTAGCTGTTGAGGGACACACGAAGCACCCTTCGTTTTACAGAAGGCCCATGTAAGTACCATCACCTTGCCGGTTCCACATAGCGCACAGTAAATATTATATATCCTCCTGGTTCATCCTTCTCCTAAATTCCAAGTGTTCCAGAAGTTGCCTCACAACAGATTGCCATCGGATCATTGCTTGAAGCCTTTTCAGCAGGTTCTCGTGCACATTGTGACCAGGGACCGGGTTGGTCTGGACAGATTGGGGATTCGGACAACGGATGACCATGCACCAAGCAGGACGACCGCTGACGGCCACGACGTCAGTTGACAAAGACCATGGAGCCCGCTGGGCCTCCCACTTGAACCGCTACCATCTGCGAAGCTGGAAGAGCTTGAATTCTCGGGCTCCTCGCTGGGTCGATGATAAAACATCACGAGATCGTGATGTGAAAACACGAGAACATGACACTCTCGCAATGTGGCAACAGTAAGGAAATCATCTTCCGCTCCATTCAGTGAATTGCCGCGTTAGTTTGGTGGAAGGTGACATTGCCCGAGGACGACCACTACTAACCAGCTAGGAAAGGTCTTGAACAAGTGCTCTTCCCACTACTGAAAATGGCTCATTCAGGGATCTCTCATCATGTGATGAGCCTCCAACCTTGAGGCGTACAGGCCCGCAGCTCTCGTACTGCGCGACGACCTTCCCATCCCGCGCTCGCTTCTGCGGCCTTCCCAGGCTTCAAGAGGATGCTCTGGTGCTGCATTCTTGCCTCAAACGCTTGGATGGTGGTTCTTAGGTGGGGAACTTGACCAATCCCTGCAGAGGTGTGGTTCTGGAGTCAAGAAGCTGGATGCGTTCCCCTGGCTCCGTGCCTCCTTCTGGGAAGAATCTCCAGATTCAATACCAACGATAGGCTTCACAACTCAGAAGATAGGCTGGCCGTGTTCGGAAACCATCCCTTCCAAGCACCAGCGTCTCAGGCCCTGAGGCCGTGGCGAACGCTGCCAGATTGGGGACATGAACCACGGTACCTGTCGCTGCAATGCTGGATTGCCTTGGACATCGTATCCGCCATCTCCAATGAGTTTGGCAGCTTCGTTGGCCATTCTGAACGCCTCCTCGTCCCCCAAAAAATAGACACCTTGTGGATCCCGGCGCTTTCCCTCCGCCCCTCGTCCGCCCCTCAGACCTCCCGTCTCGTCTTGTTCGCCCCGGTCTGACTTCGGTCGAACGCGTCGAGGACCCATCGGCACTGAAGCGACGTTGCTTGGCCGGGAAGCTGGTCGCGACGGCTTCGCCTTGGTCAAACGACTGGAGGGTCCCGTCGTGGGGGTTCCACGAGTGGACTCCGTGAGGGAAGAAATGGAAGACTCCATGGTCGAGGGAAGACGAGTCGGCCCAGGTGACATGAAATACACGCTTGAGGTAGATTTATGACATTCTATTGCTATAGAGGATTGAAAGGAAACAAAGAAGTGTTTCAACAACGTTTCGGGATGCTCAAACCTAGCTGGACTGAGGCAAAGGCGGGCCTCTTCCACCTGTTCCGCAGTGGCCTGCTGAAATTCGTGGTGGGGTCCCAGCGAGATAAGATGGGAACGATTCATCGAAAAGACTGGAGACTGCCACTCCGATTGGACAAATACCATATATGATATATCATGATATGTCATGATACTGTATGACCTCATCACTTTCAAGTATCAACATGTGCCTCCACTCCTATCTATACCTATGCCTGCCTTGATGCCCAAACTCCGCAGGGTTTGCACACAGGCCTCTACCTGCCAGAGATTGAACGTTGCGAAGGGCACGGTCGGGGATGGTAGCCCCATTCCACACCAAGGACATTAATTAATTCATCCTATTCTCGACCTGATCTCTCCTTCATCTAAACCAGTGCAAGGTGTAGCATGATGGCCTTCACAGAGATCTACCATGGGCGGACACCGTGTGTTGAAACATTTGGTACGAGTACTGCCAAGCTGCTTCAAGGAACCTTTCACCGGGCTTCAGTGCACGGTGAAAAGCCAAAGTCCAGGCCGTCAGCTCCTGGATGATTCACGGAAGCAGATTGCAGGATTTGATGGGAAGAACATAAGGGAATCAACAGTTGAATCCTTTAATTTCCTTGCTGTTTGAGGCTTATTTGAGAGACCCTGATGAATGGGTCTTTTCGTTGCAAAAGAGAGGGGTCTTCTGAAAAGCAACTGTACTCGCCCACGCTCTTTTTCCACTTGAGGCAAAGTAACGAAGCGCATACCCGATTGACCTGGTTTCTGGTGTCGGGTCTTCGCTTGATGAACCTGTGGATCTGTGAGATACACTGGATGATCCGTCCACTCCTGTGCTGACTGAAAGCTATCAGCCTTGACAAAAATGCATTGAACGCACGGCCAAAATGTAGCTTAAATGCTACAGCTCGGGCTCCCAAATTCTTGCCTTTACACGTGGGATTCCACTGAGGTAAACTCTCACTGTTCAGCATACAAAGAATGCGTACATCATCCAGCACGGATGGAGCTTCACCCCCCATCTCTGCATTCCAATGATCAGCAATGCTTCTTGCAATCAATCGAACTATAGGACCGGAAATTGTGGATCTCAGCAAAAACTTGAAACACCCTGCATCAGCCACTTCCGACTCAAGTGGCTAACGAGCAACGATCTGCCGAGCAAAATTCATCCACGCGCCTCTCTTCGCAGGCGTGCAGTGGGGACAAACGGTAAAATGCTCCATGTAAATTGATTGCTTGTACTGGCGCAAGCTATTGACGTGCGCTAGCCGTGGTGCATCCGATCCTCTTGGAGGCCAATCACCATGGACCATGGAGTTCAAGTCCCTTGATCGCTCTTGAAAAACCAATGCAATCACAACATTGAAATCCAGTCATCACATCCTGCTGGAGCAAATAGTGCAATGCTCAAAATGAACAAACCCGTTCCAATCTCCGATCAACCGAGTCCGCTCTTTCACAGGCGCTGCTGCGTATTGCGACTCGTCTTTCAGCCTTCGAATTGCACTCTCGAAGCATCGGCTTGCTCGGGAACTCTGGGCTTTTCAGAAACACTGTTTTGCCCCAAAGAACTGGATTCTCCAATGGGCACTTCAGCCCTTGACCCTTGGACCTTCTTGCTCTAGCAATGCACCGGCTACTGCGGCATCTTCCATCACCACCCAACTAGGTCAGATCCATCACGACCGTAGCCTTTCTTCTAAAGCTGCTTCTTTAGTTGCTGATATGACGGGATCTTCAATCCCTTCGGGCACATGCGCCTCACCGCGGGCACCAAGTGCTGATCAACCATCTCGGCCTGCGCCGTAGCTTCCTGGGATGATCCATGTGGCGTGGTTGCTCCCACAGTATGACCCTGCCCCGAACTTCAGACTGAATGTCCCGGCGTAGCTCTAGGCATCCAAGGAGATTGGCAGGATTTTGAACCAAAGTCATCTGAAACCTGCCGAACTTTGGTCCCGAGATGCCCAGCATTTTTCAGCGCATGCCAGGTCACTTCCAATGCATCCCGTTCCTCTGCAAGAAACTTTGCCATCTTTCTTTCAAGATGCCACTTCACCTTAGGCGACTCAACATCCCTCGCTTCCGCTGAAGCTCCCCTCTGGGGTCTGGGGTTCTCTGGGTTCTGCTGGGATACGGTTTGCAAAGGCGCTACTTCTTCTCGGCAGCGTCCTCGGCCGCCGTCCTTGCTCTTTCCTTCCCCCTTGCGGCCCTTGGCTCCGAATTCATGCTCCCCTTAGCCCTTCCGATTTCAATGGACTTTTCCTTTCCATTCGGACGGTCCTCGGAGCTTTTCCTCCCGCTCCAATTCTTTCTGAATCATTGCCTCCTCCCCCTGTCCAGGAGGGCTATGTCGTCTGGCTCCACCAGCTCGAGGAAGTGAACCGTTGTTGTCTTGCACGCTTTTCTCCAGAGCCTTGACTCCGGGCAATGATGTCGGCGGCCTGCGCTGACTTGTTCTCCCAGTAGGTCCAGGACTTCAACTCTCTCCCGGATCGTGGAGTCCATTTCGCCTTCAGGTTCGGGACCTAGGCCACGTTGTAGTATAGGCAGGACACTGCGTTCGCCTCGACTCTTCCCGTTTTTGTCGCAAGGCCCCCAACGGGGACGCGCCCCGCTTCGCCCATGGTATGGAGGAGACGGGCCGCGAGCCGGCCGGGGTGCCGCTGAGCGTAACGCTGCAACTTCAGAAACAGCGTCATCCCCGCGGGGGCCTTTTGAAAATCCGATTCGGAATAGGCTTTCGATCTGTCTTTCGGCCTTTTGTTCTTCTTTTTGCTCCTCTTCTTTTTCTTGTGGCCTTGCCTCTTTCGGCTCCGTGACCTGGAGGGATCTGACAGAGAACTCCGTCCTTTGCTCCTCTTCTTCTTCTTCTTCTTCTTCTTTTTTCCCCTGCTTCTTGAAGTTCGCTTTTGGTTGTGCCCTGAACTCTCGTCAGACGATGAGCCCTCATTGGAATCCGGCTTCGAAGACGATCCACCGGGTTCCGGGCTAGTCTTCACCTTCCTCGTGCTTTCTCGCATCTCACCTGAAAAGCGGGGCTTCCCTTTCCACTCTTCTTTCTTTCTCGTCCACTCTTCTCCTTCTTGCCTGCACCTTCCTTCTCTTCCTTGATGCCTTCAGCTGCTTTCACCTCCGCCTTCAGCGATATGAGGTCTCTGGCCAACTCTGTCAGCCTTTCTTTTTCTTCTCCAATTTCTTCCGACCCTTTCTTCTCTGTCAGGCGCCTTCTCCTTCCCGTCATCGCCCGAGTCATCCCAGGGCAAGTCACCAGCTCCTCGAGCGCCTGGCCTTTCCTTTGAGACTCCTTTGAACTATGCCTCCACATGCCCATGCGTATCCTCATCTAGGATCCCTCCGCTGTTGTCACCAAGCTCTTCTTCCTTCCATTGTCGCCACTTGCCCCAGTGGACCATGTTCATGTTCCGCCCTTGCAGTCGGCGGGAGGACCTTTGCATATATGATATGCTCCATCCACCATGGTGACTGCCCGTCTGGAGCAGTCACCACGTCCCCATGCAGAGTCCTCCCGGTCTCCCGGGGCGAACAGGCGCTTCACCCACAAGACCACCGTGCCTTGTGGGTCGCCTCCATCGTCATAGACCTCGCCCTCCATGTAGGTCTCCTTTGTGGGACCCTCGAGGGAATTTCTTCCATGCCGTTTACCAGGCATCTCTTTTCACCGCCTCCCCAGGGGAGGGTGGGCAAGGCTGGATAGCCAAACACTAGAGGCAAACAAGTAACTGACTAACTATGATATAACATCGCACCCATCTTCATTCGCTACACTAGGTGCTGCTAAATCCGATATATATATATATAATATGTATGACATCAAGATACACTTTAAACATTTTTTTAAACACATATATCAAAACAGTTGACCCAAAAGTCTGTCTGGTGGTGAGGCGGTCCTGATATGTTCTGATATGGTTGTAACATTTTGTAACATCTTGTCATACATAGATCATCCTCAATTACCCTCCCTGAAACAATCATGAAAGTGGAACATAGGTCCCTGGAAGACCATTTTCGGCTACAAGGGGGATCTGCTCATTGATTGTTGGAGGAAGGGCGTGGATTTGCATAGAATGATATCGGCATCAGTGTTTGTTCAGCATTTGCCTGCAGTTTCAACTCTCACATTGTGTCAGACATCATGCACAACATGGGGCAATTCTCCACAGACTCAAAGGAGATGTGTCCCACGTGTCCCGTCCATCCATCCTCCAGGAAAAGCTTCGCTAAACATCTAGAAACCAAACAAATAGTGCGAGCGCTTCTTCAAGGAAGCTCACCCCCTTCCTTTGAAGAAGCGAAAGCTATCCTGCGTCCTAGGTAGTAGCTACGTAAGCTATCTCTCCCTTACTTAATTAATTAAGTAGGTGCCTAGTCAATTAAGTAGGGAGGGGGGGAGAACTAGCGGGCTAAGAACAAAAAGACCTCTCGAGTCGTCCCGTCCTTCTCCTGGAACTTCCGCACCAACTTCCGCAGCTCCACGGAATCCAACGTGCCCGATTCGTCCACGTCCACCTGCCGCAGCTGCGCTGGTCGCCCCAAGGGGGTGGCCCCGGGGGTGGTGGGTGGATGACACTCTTGGATGACACTCTGTCGCGTGTTTCTGGATAGTCACCCCAACAAAACTGTCCACTGAATGCAGGTTGCTGCATCAAAACAACAACACTTCTATACTTCTGTTGGCTTGTGAAGGTTCACGGCATCTTCGATGTCAAAGAGTGAGGTGTTTCAGTGTTCCTGATCTTCCTCGCGTGCCAAAGAAACATCGCTGACTCTTGTAGGAATGTGTTAGTAAATACTAGTAAACAACATCTTCTTCACACCTCCTCCTAGTTCTACTGGACTTGATGCCTTATTGTTCCCAAGAAACCATAGCATCATTAATATATGTATTATTGATTATATATAATTGTACATTGCGGCATATTTCCGTGCACCTCTCGAGTCAACATCAACTGGACGTCAAAGTTGGCGGAGTAGCCCATCCAGCGAAGAACCTATGACGTGGCGGAGCGAGGCACCAGTGATTTCCGGGAGTGAGATGGTTCGTTGGAGTGGAGCTTGGAGGGCAGAACACCCCAGTGAAGTTGACCGGTCTCAATAGTAAGGGCTCCTCTGGTTCCACCACGTTCCGCCATCGGCCTCTATATATCAAGATGGTTGCGCTACTTCAGTAGAATCTTTACAGTTTCGTTCGTTTGTAGATGAATCACCTCGTGAATCCTCGTGATCTTTCACTGGGCCCCTCGTGAATCCTCCCCCCCGCGACTCGTCCGACGACTCGTCCGCGGAATCGCCCGATGGAATCCGTCTGGACGGATTCTCCGGCGCCCCGATGGGTACCTTGCCCACGTCCTTGATGTCCATCTCACCATAGCCTCGTCCCGATACCAACGCCCCCCTCCCAGCGACCCCGAGCATTGCTCCAGGCATTGAGGCGATGTGGCGTGACAAATGCTTCTAACGAGCTGGCACCGAACAATCTCCCAACAACCCGTGGGATGTTCCGAAGATGTTCAAGTCGGAGGTTCAAGTGAACGTCGCAGGAATCACACATCAACTTCCAGTATGGACTGACGTGGGCCTTTCCGGTCATACTTCCTGAAAACGGATTCCAGCTCCAAGATCTGCGAGAGCCGCTTGACTTGAGGAGACGTCAGGGAACAGGGTCATATAAAGGTTCTTGTGGAGTAGTTGAGGACAAGACCAACAGTCATACAATTTAACATCATTTAAAGGGACAAAATAAGATCAATAATAGTTCTTCCATGTTCTTCCTCCATACGACTTCGAGGAGATGAAAGGAGATCCGCAAAAACTCCTGGGCCATCCATAACATTCCACAACCAACCTTGAAGAAGGGCAAATTGGATTTGACTTGACTGTTCTCATAACCCGTATATAAGATCTTGTGACCTTTGTATGCTTTGGCTGAAACGCCACAAAGCATCTGACTCTCACCATGTTTTACCCTACCTGCAAGAAACAACAGGATCAGATTGTCAAAAATGCAACACGATGTGTAGAGATGTTGGAGCAAACACATATCCTTTATTGAATATGTCACATGTCTCAAACAGGATTCGTGACTCGTGCCTGGAAGACGTTTTCCTCTGCAAACCTGACCTCTCCAAAAAGTCGACTGCTCAACAAATCGATGGAGACCTTCACTGAGACCTTCATCTCAGTTCCACCATGAACCCACAAGACTGGCCTGGGTGCGATCCAAGCCCTCCCGCGAGCGGTAAACCTGCGTGCCACCAGCAATCGAACTTGTCAAGAACTGTACTGACATCATGACATGTCTCCCGAGAAGGGCTGTTTCGGCGGCCTTTCATCTTTCCAGGTTTCTGCAATACATCCCGCGACGGCTCTTTACTGATCATCGCTGGTTTTGGTGGCTCGCATTAGAACCTGTTTGGAGTCTGTGCTGCTGTGCCAGAATAGTAGAGTTTTCATCACATTGGCGAGCTTTGCACAATTCCCATCTGCTCCAATTGGACTCCAACGCTTCCACATGTCTTCCACCGCTTCGGTGCGGCACTCACAGTGACAAACGACCTCCCGGTGAAACGAGGTGTTTCACGTCCACCAAAGCCGTGCAACGGAGGGCACCAGGATCGAAGGTCCGACGAGGCCTTTTGGGTTCGATTCAGGTGGCTTTTCTCGCGTCATCCGAAGAGCGAGGAAACCTTGGTGGGAGACCTTCCCTGGGAGACCTCGAACGAGACCCCTCTTTTTTGGTTGTCATCCAAGTAGGCGCAGCTTTTCGTTGGCCACTTCTTGGGGCCGTGGAGTTGGTAATTTTCGGTGCGAGATGCGATTGCCAGACCAAGGCAAAACGAGTTTAGCCTCCAAGAAGTTGAAGAAACTGGACAGCGTGATCGTCTTCGGAACAGTGAAATCGGCCTCAACGGGAAGCAACGAGGCCATCATTACCAGGTGGATTTCGGTTGAAGTTCACTCAGAGTTTGATGCAACATGATACAACCAACTTCAACATCAAGATGAAATCTGAGATTCTCTTACTCTTCAACATCAAGACTACATCAGGAGAACAGTAAGATTCTTACTCTCCATGGAGTTCTCTCTAGTCCAAATGCTATTAGCCATGGGACATCATGGGGGCACGGTGCCCGCCAACCCTAGCCCTCGAGAAAAGCACTCTCCGTCTGGGCCCTGGGCGTTCGCCCTGGGCGTTCGCGCGTTCGCGTGGTCACACCAGGCAGTCCATATCAATCCAGGTCCCACCAGGTCAAACAAACACGTCATGAGTCATGTGGCTTCGATTTCACATGGCTTTCACTGCTTTGGGGTGACCGCTTTCTGATGTGTTGTTTTTCAAGCGGCGTTTTTTCTCGTGACGGACGCGAAGTCCTCCGTTGCCACATTGGGTGAAGTACTGAGGTCGGGGCGAATGACCTGGGGTGCTTGTCGCACACGGTCCGGCGGGGCGCGCGCGGCGGGCACACGGTCGCGAAGAGAAAACCGGTGGAAGGGTGGTGTTGGTGGAAGGGTGGTGGAAGTCCTTGAACAGCGTCCCAGTTGCGGTGTGATCTCGGGATAGAATGGTCTTGATTCAGGAATGATAGAACTGGCTTTAGCATGCTGAAGAGCGTGCTGGCATAGCGGTTCTGGCCACGGTGAGTTGATGCCATTTCCATCTCACCACTTGGAGATCGACAATTGAACACCTGTAGGCCAGAACTGTTGCCTAGCTGCCCCAATTGAGAACACTCTTCGCCTTCCTTCCAAGGGGCTGTTGGCACTGTCGCGGCGGCTGGACACCGCAGAGACGCGGCCTGGGGCGACTAGAGTCTGAGGCTCCAGTTGCAATGTAGACTTGAGTCTGAGGTTCAGAGGTCTCCTAATTACTCCCCTGCTTTTCATGCTTTGCTGGTGATGAGCCTGACAAGCCATGGTCAAAACCAAATGTGACTGGACCAATCTGCAACTGCACTCAAAAGTCTGCAATTTGTACAAGGGCAGCAGGGGCCTTAAAATGCCTTAAGCACAAACTGTACTGTACTATACACTCTTTGCTATTGGGGTTCCACCTCAGCAACTTGACCTGTTCTCGCCCCCACCATGCGGTGCCAAGCTGCGACTGCTGCCCCCAAGTGTGGCCATAGTACCCACGCTGGTGCGCCTGGAGGGCGGCGGAGGTCACGGGGAGGGTGAAGGCTGTGAAGCCCAAAGCAAGATGTTAAACAGCTTCAAGAGGGTCCCGGGTCACCAATCCCACCCCCCTTTTGTTGCAAAACATCCAAACAGCTTGCCTGCTGCCAGAGCTTATGAAGCTTTGCCTCAGATTGCTGGAGCCATGCAAAGCTAGGCCATCAAACAATTGTATATTGTATGCCTCTGGGATCAACCATGCATAAAATTGCATAAGTGCATTGGCTCCCTGGCCGGCGCTGTGCACCAGAGACCACTGGCTTCCAGGGTTGAATGCCTCAGAAGGTTTGCATCATGCACGGTCATCAAAGGAACACCCACCACAAATTGTGTAAAGTCTACATTATCTATCTATTATAATCTATCTATTACGAGTATAACCTATCCAATCAACCAATCGCCAATCGATCGATCAATAAACAAACCAAAACAAACCAACCAGCCAACTAACACACACAATCAATCATAATACAATATATTGCATCTACATCTACAAGTACATCGACGTCTATTACACGGGGACCTGTTGCCACACGAGTCCTTTTGATGTGATGAAATGATGATTGAGGATTCTCGTCCTCGAAGTGGCTTGGAACATCTCCGGTCCGTTCTCGGTGCATTGGAAGTGGTAATTGACTTCTTTACACTGGACTCGTGCCTTTTCAGCCTTCCGCTCGTCGGCACGCCCATGCAAAGCAAGAATCGACGGACGATTCCTGTCCTCACCTTGATCAAGCAGGCACTATTCCCTTCGATCAAGAGTTGCCTATAAGGAACCTGGACAATACAACATCTTCCCCAGGTTTGGGGATTTAACCATACGTAGGCAAAACATGGGAAAATCAACAATCGTCTTAAGCAAAACCAGGTTCTACCGCGCGGGGAAGACCCGTCCTTCGTCCGACCATCCGTGGTCCCGTGGTCCCTGAGGGCCAGCACCATGGCCCTGTTGCTCCACCACCTACAGGAAGCAGGAGCTCAAGGACCACCAAACCCATGAAGAGCACAGGTTAGTGCAGGAGCGACATCTTGCTGGAGTATATCTTCAGATTCTTTGTGTCCTTCTTTGGCCTGCACATGCATAACATGGCAACTGGCGCATGGAATATGCTTCGGTAGAATTTGGATGATTTTTCGGAAAACAGAAGAACCACTCCGTGGGTGTTCAGTTGTGGGTGTTGAGTTTTTTTGACTTAGCATCCCTCCGAGCGGCGGCATGCCGCCATGCCTCTGCAGGATTCACTCGGATGATGCCTGCATCCTGGGGCGATTCAACTCAAAAGCACCTCCGAGCTCTATGACTCAGCCTCACCGACTCGCCATGGACCAAAGCCTCACCTGTCAACACCTGTACCACCTACCAAGATGTGCCAAACCTGCCATTCACCGCTGATCCAAGTTGCTTTTAGGCCTGTACAGGTGGTCTATGGTCATGCACCAAAGCGCATCCAGCAAAAAAACCGGATCAGTCATGCACGAAGTCCTGACTGCACGACTGACCTACCTCACGTGCGACCTCTGACGTCCACGGTCCACGTCCTCACGTCCTGGTCTCCCCGATCCTCCCCTGCATCACGGATCGCTCGCGCATTGGGGATGTAGCCCAAGGTCCTTGAGCTGAGCCGTCGAACAGCATTGATGTTGGATGCTGGAGGCCCTTTGAGGCTGTTGAATTTAGACCATCTCCTTCGCATCTTGGACGAATTTGGACGATTCGAGGCTCTCCAACAACTCCTTCATTATATCGATTAATATCGATTATTTATGGCAACTTCTTCACTTGTTCATGTCCAACAAATGAACCAGGGCATCTAGGGCCTCCCACCGTAGAACCCTGTCAAGCTGCTTCTGCATGTACCTTGTCGGGCAAAATAGCTCAGTGACTAGCTCAGTGGGTTATCACAAGTGAAAACAAAACCGGGAACGCCGGAAACAAAACTAGACTCGACACTATCCTTCAGCTATGCCATGCCTGGAGTTCAGTAGGTCCTCCGTGAGCAACATCCCGAAAGAAACAAACGTGTACATTGCATTAAATTCGTGCTGTATCTTTTCATATCTTGTCCTCTTTTCCACTGTCTTCCTCATGATGCGCAAAGCATCATCTGAAGAAACTGGCTCTGTCATCTCAGCTGTCCATCTTTCTCGCGCGCTCTCTCTCTCTCTCTCCCCCTCTCTCTCAGCTTCCCCAGTCTGTTCCCTGCATTCTCCCGTTGGTCATGCTTTTACGCACATTTCTATCAAAAAGGGAGAGAAGCTTGGAAGGAAGAGAAGAACGACTTCTTTTATCATACTGATGATGATGATGATGACGACGACGAAGCAACCGGAGAGAGCGGAAAGCATGTGTCATGGTATGTTGTGGTACATAGAGGGCTCTACAGCGGGTTCATTTCTATTGTCAAAGGTAGCGCGTTGTCAAGTGTCAATCGAAGACTCTCCACAGGACGGTTGAAAGACTTGAACATTCGTGTGAATATTGTCAGAGTTGTGGGCACTACGATCCGGAGTCTTTCATCCACCTGGTCAGGCTTCTGTCAACTACGACCACCTGGTCACAGAAATGACCACACCTTCACCTTCTACTTTTCACGGTGCAAGACCAAGCGCACGGTGTCCTTGCGACCGTGAATCAAGGTACCTCACCCTCGAACCACAGAAAAAACAGTGAAAGGATGTCAAAGAAACACTTGATGGAACTTGACATATATACAAACTAAACCAAAACCAAGAGAGAAGGGAAAGGATGGGAAACCAGAAGGGAGCCGAAACATGTTTTTGCGATCTTCTCCTTTCTCAGCCACCTCTTACGCTTCATGTTGCTGCAGAGTTGCACTGACCCGGCATCCGGTCGTTGTTTCGAGAGAGCCTTCTTCACCAAGTAGATCTGCACCGTTCAAACGAGTCTGACCACCGGATCAACGACTCGAAGTCCGACCACGGTGCTCACTTCCGAAATAAAAGCTCCTAGGAGCGTGCTTGCTCCTAGTAGTAAGGCCAGGAGAGTCCCTAGTAGCTTCTTGTTCCTAGTAGCGATGCCAGGAGCCCCTAGTAGCGTCGAGATCCGAGGAATGTTGTAACTATACTTGGTAGACCTACGGAAAACATCACAAAGGACATCTTTTGCAGTTGCCAATTACGTCTGACAAGTTGTAGTCTGACAAGTAATTAGAGGCATTTTTTTGTTTCAACATGCTTGGACCAAGTTTTTGGAGTAATAGCTGAGAACCTACATGGGCGCGAGGTCTTGGCCTCCAGCATATTGCCCAACACAAGGCCACAACTTCAAACTTGAGGCACAGTGAGTTGGGTGGAAGGACGTGTAACAGTAGCTTTATCAGCATGAGTCTGTAAATGGAACGTAGAAAAGGCCAAAGCATATCAAAGCCATAAGAAAAACACACTTTTTTGCTGTTTCTTGCATTTGCCAGAACGAGCCCCGTTCTCATGTGCCCCGTTCTCTCGTGTCGACCCGAGATCATGTGCCTCGCGTTCCTTGACCTTGCGCATGAATCCAACGAACTCATGCTCCTGAAGAGAGCCCTTGCCTGGGTCTACACACTGGACGACCGCAGTCCGCTCCGCGCGGCGCTGCTTCGCTTCTTGAAGACGAACATCCACATCAAGTGACTAAATGGGTAACATGTCAATCCTTCAACGGACCCACCCAGGATATCTCAACAAAACAAAGGTATCATCATCTGCAGATTGTTTGTGTGTGCAAAGGGGTAAGGGGGCTGATTAAAGCTCAACAAGGTACAGTGGGGTGAATCATAGTATATGAGCGGCGGCATTTATTAGTTATTAAACTAAAATAAACTACAAGTATATAATATCTATATCTATTATGTGGAGGCCCTATCTCAGTAGGAGGTCATGTCACAGTATCCCATTCAGACTACTTGAGTGTCATCAAACAAAAGTGTCTCGTTTACGGGGGGGCCCTCTCTCGTTCACCAGCGAATACAAATGTTGGACAAACAGATATGATAGAGCATGCTATGGACTACTTTAGTCAACACCAAACAAAAAGTGGTTGCACATCTATCTGTAGCCAGGGATTCCTTCACAAGGGCTCATTCGTCCCTGCTTTCTATAGGGCTTTCAATCGCTGGACCCACTGATCGCCTTGCGTGAATTGAAGCCTCCACGCTTTGATCTCCAACGGTTTTGCCCCCCCTCACCGGCCTCCAACGTCACAGCTGTTGCTGATGTCCTCCACTTCCTGAAGAACGACGAACGCCACCCCCAAACCGGTGGGGTTTCGAAGTCGGTGCCGCTCGATCCCAGCATTCGGCTGTGTCGAAGGAGCACGGTCCAACGATCTCCCCGCCAAGTCCAAGCGGAACAAAGATTGCTTTCTCACTTACAGGAAGCAAGGCACGTTGATGCATGTCATACATTGTCATACAATGTCATACATCCCCGAACTCTTGGTTACAGAATGTTACTGTACAAACTCTGGCATGTTCTCCCCAACGACCGCAGCCCTTTGCGCCCTTCGCACCGTGCGGTCGCGCACTTCGCGCGTGCGTGGTCCCGCCTGTGAGGTGAGGCCAAAGCCCAGCCAGGCCAGGGCTTTGTGCAGTTCCGAGGTGTCCAGAAAGCCACCCCTTCCGAGCACGGTCACGACACCAAGCCGTTCCGAGGATGGCAAGGGTGGCGAGAGATGGCAGGCCAACACACGAATGGAACGGATTTGATGCGATACTCTTTGATTCTTAGAACAAATATGAACACATTCGGTGGTTACAGATTCATGTTAATGTTAGGAGTGCAACACAGTCCGACATAAACTGACAAAATGCATAATTGGGCAAATCATGGCAAATCGAACAATTTTACGCAAACCTAGAGCATCCATCTGCAAACCAGAACCATTCCAGGTATTCGAGTACAATTTGCTGTTCATCAAACTAACGCATCCACTAATATCTGGCTGAGAATCAATTGGCTGAAAGCGAACATGATCTTGATCTCTAAAGATCCTCCTCCTGTTGCACGTCCCTGTATAGTCTTGACATCTGTGGTACAAATGAAAGGTGGTTCCGAGCTGCATGGGCGCACTTGTCCAGGTCAAACCTTCGAAAAATCTCCTTGAGCTTAATGATCTCCCGAGAGGAGAAGCCCTCGCGCGGATTCGATTAGGACACGTGTTGATCATCATCTCATGGAACATGCAACCCCATGTTCCTTCTCTGTTTGTGAGATCAACCGCATCAAGTCTACATGTCATTAGCTTTGAAGCTGCACAAGGATGATCTCAGGATATCGCTGGTGGACTCTGAGCAACTGCACCTCGTTGACGTGGATGATCTCCACTACTTTCCTGGCGAAAACATGTTCCTTGGACATGTTACATGTTCTTTTCTCGTCCCATGAAGGCCATGCATTGGTTTGGGCGCCCAAAACAGGAACCCAAATGTCAAGGAAGGGGGTTGTAAGCGGTTGTAAGCCATTGTAAGCCAGTGAAACACGAGATAACACCTATACGTATATAAGTGAATTCTTGATCTTCAGAGTCGAAGCGTTCGCTGAGGCGCTTCCCACCGAACCACCTCACCCGCCCTGGCCTGAACTCTTCCAAGGTGAGGTGTGAGGAGTCCACAGGTGCGACCTTGGGGACCCGTCGCCAACTGTAGACACGTCCGCTTGTCATAGCGCGACTTGCGGCCTCTGTCTGATACAGCCCATGTTAGGCAATATGCTTGTCATAACAAGATCACTTAGTCACTTGTTGTTCTAGCTTAGCAGGTATGTGCACGCCAGCCTCTTGAAAGCGGATCGTCTCGGAGTCCAAACGTAAGTCTGGTAAGAACGGGAAAGCGCGAGCATCGAACAGGATTTGCTGAAGTGGGTGATCAGCACCCGTCAGTGGCGGGTTGTGACATTTCTCCCAAGCAATCTTTAAAGTGGCTGCAGTCCAAGGTTTACGCTACCAAATCTCCGTCTAAAGGCCTAAAGGTCAGGATTCGCTGAACGGATCGCCTCAGGACTCCACGTCCCCCTCTATGTGAAATATCTCCAATGAACAAGACATCCTTCACAAACAGGGAGTCTTCCACTTCCATGTTTTATTTGTTTAGTGTCATCTCATCGGGGCCATTTCGGTCGAGCTCGAGGTCCAAACTTCAACCAAGATCTCCTTGAGCACCTGCACAGCCGGGTCACTCGCAGGGCACACAACTATGGGTTCTTCGACGTGATTTTGGATGTCGGACTGTGCTGTCCAAGAGCATCCGACACTCGTCATGAACCAAGTCCCGTGCAAACATACACAGAGACACGGCAATTGGTGTTCGATGCCACGGTTTTGAATTCTCGACATCCACCTCAGAAAATGCATGAAAATAACAGACATGAAGTCGACTGAAGTCCTGCCATTGGACCCCTGAAAGACCCTTCAATCTCAAACCCAACACCTTCTCAATAAACACCCGCCCTGGTCAGCCGCCTCCAACCCATCCGCCCAACCGCCGGTTCGACGCACCGGCGGTTCGACGCGCCGTCACCTGGTCCAAGGCGGTAATGCCGCACTGCTCCAGCAAGGCGGCCAGCTCGTCTCTCTGGGTCCGGCCGGACGGGTTCACCGGTGTGGGGGCCGTGTGTCGGTGGGGGCTGGGTGGTTTGTTGGATCCACCGACGGCCCATCATCCGTCTTTGGCTGGGTTTAGACATGTCTTCGGTCTTCGCCCATAATGTTTCTCGGGTTCACCCTTGCGACAAAACACGGACTTTCTTCTGGAAAACAAACTCTTCGAACTTCGAACCACTCCATGCTGGGTTAAGTCACCTGGCTATACTATGTAATAATGGTATATAGTTCACGGGGTGGCTTTCCTGGCACCAAAAAAACTGCTGGGTTCAGAAAAGAAGCACTTGGTGCATTTGATGGGTCCTCGGGGTCAGCCGTCGGCCGTCCTCCACACACGACCCGTTGGTGGCCTCCAGGTGTCCGTTTTGATCGATGTCGAAGTGCTCAAAGACACTGATGAACTCTGCATATTGCTTGGCCTTGATAGGGAAAACAACCAACCCACATCTTACCGCTTGTTGTGAGTGCTGTAGAAATAGCAAGCAGCATGGGTGAACAATGGTACTGTATTAGACTAGGAAGACCCAAACATGCCTGGGAAGAGCACAAGTAGACAAAGTAGTAGTTGGAGGGTCTCACTATTGAAAAACAAACAGACTCACATCCAAACAGAACAGTGTTTTCAGGACTGTTTGAAACCGACAGAAAACACCTTTATCATGACTAGTTGGATGTTCAAAATCGAAACATATATATATATATAGTCTCAAAAACATTATCAATTTCCTGTGCCTCCAGGATCAATCCAAATTAATCCTGGTTATTTTATGTTTGCTGTCGAATTCCTGTCGTATTACTCCATCTGCATCATCCAAAGGCGAGACTTGCCTAACGGAAGAGACCTGTGATAAAGGAGTTTTTGGATAAGGTAGGACACGTGTATGAAGGCGTGTACATGCCAGTATTATTGCATAAATGGAGAACAGTGGCATCATACCAAAAGTATGTTTAAAGAAGTAATATTCTCAAAATGCGTTGCAGGGATTGTCCCTTACACATGTTTCAGTCAATCGTAGCTTCGCAACATGAAATATGTTCGCAATCTATATAGGTTGAGGACGAAGAAGAGCAACAGAACCCCTGACCCCTATAACAAGGAGGTTTTGTGCTTCCACTGCACTGTTTGAGTTCTTTTTTGCACCTCTTGGCATAGTTTCTTTTTTTCGCCTTGTTTATATAAGGTCTCATTTTCACCCTGTGGCCAGGTTCCATGTCCACCCTGTGTTCATCTCCTTTCTGGCTCTTTCTGCGGTGTGGAAATGGTGGACACACAACCCATGGAGGATTGAAACAAGTCCATTGCCTTTGGGCCCCCTGCCAAGGGTTTACAAACAGAGTTGAAAACACGGTAGAAATAGAACCCATGGAGGGTTCCATTTTTTCAACACAATGATGGAGGGTCCCCTAGAGGGTTCAGGCCTGCTGTCTGAACCCAGTCACAACGGACCTTACCTGTGGCCACTGCCAGAAAGCGTATATCAATGGAAACGGTAGAGGGTTGATATGGAACGGTAGAGGGTTCAGGCCAATCGCTGCCCATCAACTCTGAAGCTAAGCAGCTTACCTTACACTCCTTGCAGAAAGGACATGAAAACAGGGTCGAACTAGAAACCATTGGAAAGAGAAACCTTTAGGTCGAAAAAGACCCCTGCGAACACCCTTTGGCGAACATGTTGGCGAAACCTGAAACCCTCACCATGGCGCCCCGTTCAGGGATCTTTTGAAGGGGCATGTTCATGTTTCGCTTGAATTGCTCTTTTTGAACTGACACCCGTATATCAACGCAGCTCTGACTTCAGCCTCATAGCCCTGCAGCACTTGCATGAACTCGTCCATGTCCAGTGTGGTGTACCTCCGGTGCGTCTTTTTGAGGACCAACTGAAACTGCAACCACTAAGCATGAACTGAACCCATCGATTAGGGGATCCACTGATAGTGAGACAAACCATTGCAAACCTGAAGACGAGGTGGTAACAGCGGTGGAGTCCACAAATCATCCCCTCGAGCCAGCAAACTGGCGGATTTGATTGAATATCTATGTTCATTTGCACCTTCAAGACAGCCAATACCAAATCAAGCAAATTTTCACACGTCATTTAAAAAAGCATCTCATGACAGCTCTGAACGTCTGTGGGGAACGTGGTGATTTCAGCCACGACCTTGGAAGGGCAAAGGAAAGCGGGTTGACATACGACCGTGGGACTGTCCCTTCCAATCGCTGACAAAAAAGGTGCATATATAATTATGTAAACTTAAACATGTTGCAATGTTCAATCTGAACAGTCTATATATTATAGCAACAAACCGATTGACGACACGTGGGCAAACAAAGACAAATACCTGTGCGGCCGTCAAAATTCTTTGTTCAGTCTTTTGCCATCATGTAGATTGGGGGGGCCCATCGCTTCCCTCAGTTTTGGACAACTGAAGTTTTCAGCTTGGAAGGGAGGCATCGTTTTCTTGTAGTTAGTCAAGGCAGGCTTCAACCAAACAAGTGTGTGTATGAGCACGAGTACTCAAAGAAGACAAACAAACAAACAAACGAACTTCACTCGAGTCGAAGGTAACAGCACAGCTCAGCTGACACATTCGAAGAGCTGACAGCTCAGCTAAGAGAATTCACCAAGCTGTTACCGCAACATGATTTACAGGTTGCAAACCAACCTAATTGTTTAAGTGGGCAAGTGATGGACTGGCATGATCGAGGGGGTATGGCGCCAGGGCATCGCTAAGGGTGTTGTTTCAAATCCCTGAGTTTGGGCCCCACAGGAGATGACTGTTGCCTCTTACATGGATCAAGAAGCTCTTGAAACAAAAAACATGCCAAACGAACACGCTTGGACAATGTTCATCCTTCATGCTCTGGTAGGGCATCGTGGCATGGCTTTTGGGGGGGCCCATCGCTTCCCTGGGTCTTTGCAAATTCTCAAGGATTGAAGGCGGCTCACATCTTCTGCTCTACATACCGTGTTTTGAAGGTTGCTCATCTGACGTCAAGCGCTTCCTCGCCACAAATTTCATCACACATGGTTCCTTGTGTGTGTCTGTCCCCCCCTGAACTATTGAAGACTCATATACTTCATAATCCTGGTGTTTTGAAGGTATACGAGGGCTTGTCTGGGACAGGGACACGACATGATTTTCACATTCAAAACTGGCCAAACAGAAATTGCATTGAACACCGTGTCTGCCGAGCTGCCTGGTCTAACCACTCTTGTCGGACGATCGTGAAGCCTCTGAGTCGATCGAACATGCGACCGATTTGGACCGAGACTGGTACAGGCCTGGGTACTGGGTTCTGCTACGTGCCCATGAAACCAAGCCTTGCACCACGCATAACAATTAAAATGTCTCCGCTCAAAACAGCGAAGAAGAACTACAAATCGGCTTGACACCGTGTAGCTTTGCGCTGTGCTAATCACCTGGACCGAGATGCGCCGGAAACACATGGCCGAACACACGGTATCAGTGATGGGAAAGCTTCCTTCTGGTGATGTGATCTAACATGATCCTACGTTGAGACACCTGCCCGAAGGGATTTGTCAGTACCTCTAGACATCCGAATGGAAAAGTGCATGTACTGACAACGAGGTGTCCTCACTTTCCCCCCCAGTGTTTTCGGTCACTTATACCATCTTATACGATCGCGCACACTCCCGAGTCCAGTGAGACGTGGACTGAGTGGATTACCCAACCACAGATTGAGCAATCTAAAGTAGACCCCAAAGAAATTAAAAGTCACCAATGCAAAGTCGCCACGTGTCGATCTGCCTTCCAGCACCTTTGGCGAAGGCCGTGGCAATGGACACCCGGACCTCGTCAGGGTGATAGGGGATTGCCCCATCTATACAACCCTGCGGGAGCACTCGACCGCACGAGCGCGGTTTGGTAGAACTAAACTGGCCAGGAAAAGCGTCAACATTCGGCATCTTTGAAAGCTGCAAGATGCACTCTCGCATCAACTTGTAGATATCATACAGCGTGCAGACCTCCAAGTCTCCGGACAGGGCAAAGCCTGCCTTATGGTAAAAGACAGCCAACTCGCAAAAAGAAAAACTTTGCGAACTGTCGACTTGCCAGTGTAAACCTGAAAGGAATGCACATAGCGTGTCCCAGTCTTCCTTTTGAGCTTTCCACGAAGGTGGGGGCGGTAACCTATTCGGAATTTTGGGGCGCCACGGAAAGAATTTCCGAGAAAGCCCCCAGTGCCAGTGTGGGAACCGCATCTTGCAAAGCTCAATGTCAGGGGCAGCCTCCTCATTCTCATGAATTCCGTGAGTAAGACCAGCGCATGGATCACCCGTAGGCATCAAGGTGTGGAGGTTGATCAGCCATCGCTGATGTGCTTCAACCGCTTTGGTCATTTCAGAGAACATGTCGAGCTTGATGGGGCACAAACCTTGTGCAAACTCCTTGGCTGCCATATCGCACCTTCGATTGCGAACAATGTGTTCGACGGTTGTGTTGTGCAAAGCAGCCAAATCATCGGAGATAAGACAGTCTGGAATGTGTTCAAGCTTGTGTGCCGGGATCCATTCGATCCAAAAAGGCCGGGTGACATCTCTCGCCCGAAGGTGGACAATCTTCTCCAATGCTTGCCACCACTCCAGACAGCTCCATGAAGGATCGACAGAGCCGCCCTGAAACAGGTGCTGGGCATGATTGACCACGTTCAAACAGTCAGAAAAAATGATGACCTTGGTGGATGCAGTAACACAAGCATACACAACGGGCCACAATTCGGCAGCATACGCAGAAAGAGCCCAATGGTTGATGAGCCCTTTCTTGACAATGTTGATCTGCTCGTCAACAATTGCATATGTGGCTGTGGCGAGCCAAAAAGATTCACCCAACACTAGCGAGCCATCTGTCCAAAGGCGAACCAAGCAAGAAGGATCAAAGGTTCCCGCCACTTCCAGATCGGCCGCCAAAGAAAACTGAAGACGACGGCGAGCGATGAACTGCGGGTGAGCAATGTGGCCCAATAGCAAAAAGTTCTCTCCCAATTCATGGTGTATATTGGAACCCCAGCAAGGGCGTGAAGAGACGCACAATCATGAATCAAGTGGTGCATGTCCTCCTTTTCCTTACCACAAAAACGACAAAGCGGTGAGTCAATCCATCCAGTTCCAGCAAGTCTATCATTTGTAAGTGTGCACCCAACCAAAAGAGATTCCAGTCGAGACCGAAGCAAAACACCATCCGACTCGGCGTGCGGAGGTAACCTCTTGAGGAGAGAGGTAGTTTGCTGATAGTCAAAAATCCTAGTGGAGGGGACCAAGTCTTTGCGTTTTCGTCCAAAAGCTTGCTGATAACAGGCCTGTCTAGCAATGTTTTGAAGGACCTTACTTGCATCCTTAGTCGACAAGGCTTGCAGAGGGACCGGCGTGGACCCACAAAAAGACATATTGAGATCCTGGTCAATCTGAAGACCCAACACTTCGGCAGCGTTTCGGAGTTTGGTGGCAAGTGAATGTGCCCCCCGTGTCCTTCTGCCAGGTGCGCAGGAGCATGGGAAAAGTATATATGGCAGGGTATGGCACATGCGAATGCATTCCAACACTGTGCTAAACGCACATGCAATCCGAGGATCGGTACGATGGGGCTGGGAAAGCACAGCCTGGAGGAGTTGACGGGATCTCCATTTAGGCCTGCCAACCCACAACGCGCGAGCAATTGCATTTTGAATGGAATTAAGAGCTTGTTGCGGAATCTTAGAGATATGAGCGCCAAATGAAATCTGTGGCAAGATCTTGGTGCCAATCAGAAAAACTCGAATTTTGTGAGGAACCGGAAGAGCAGCAATGTTTTCCGAGTCATCCAAAACTTTTCTAAGTCTCTTATCATCAAAATGAAAGGCATCTCTCTCGGAGGTGTACATCATGGTGCCCAAGACTTCAACTTCTAAGCGGAGTGGGAGGTGCGGGAAGAACTCCTTGGCAGTCTTACGGCCATTAGAGGTGGTGGCCCACATGGAGGATTTGGCTTCATTAAGCTGTTGACCTACCAACTTGTCCCACACTTTGGTCACTTCGAGAGCCTTGTGCAGGTATTCACAATGCTCAAGTTTGGACCATAAGTAAGCATCGTCGATGAATGCTCGCACAAAGACCTCAGGCAAATGGTCCAAAAGATGACACCAAACCTTATTGTAGGCATTCATTGCCAATAGCGAGAGTGAACATCCTTGCGCCACACCATTGGCTCCATGAGTGGACTGAGGGCAAATCCACCTTCTATAGGACAAGTGCTTATGAAGTCCTTGATATTGCTTAAGAAAGGCGTTTACGAGCCCTTGTGGGAGCCCAAAGGCCAGAAACAAGGCGGCTGCAAAAGATGGAACAATACGATCAAAAGCTTTTGCCTTGTCTAGCTTAATGCCAACCAAAGTCACACGGTCAAGCTTTGCACAATCAATGTGTAAGCGAAGATCATTGTACAGGGAAGCCATATGGCGGCCCTTGATTCCACCCAGCACCGACGAGGGCATCACTTGCATCTGCCATGCATGGAGTTGCGCGAAGCGGCTACCCGTGTAGGCCAAGAGTAATGCAGGCAATATAGTAATAAGCCTCTTATTCATCGGGGTAGCGGGGCCAGGCTTATTCAAAATGACCTGCTTTGCACACACAAGTGCTCGGGGAAGAGGTAACTCAGTTTGTTCAACAAGTTGAAAGAAGGAGGCCACCGGTTCCAACTCAGAGATGCTGAAAGTTTTGAGTTCGCATGTACGCCAACCATCTAAACCCGGAGCCGCATGGGTCTTTCGGTGTTGGAGGACATGGTGCAAATCACACGCATTGACAGGTGGAAGCTCAATCTTCAAGTGCTGATCCTTAATGTAGGGCCAAACAACTTCTAACATCTTCAGAGGATGTTCACATAAGGTGTTAACACCAAACACAGAATCCCAAGAAGAGTTGAGGTGAGCAAGAGCGGCTTCAGGCTGGAAAATAACATTGTTATCAGCATCAACAACAAGATTGGGTGGTTCATCTTGCTGCTTGTTTCGAAGATGGCTGAAAATGTATGTACAGTTGGATTTTGCCGACTCACGAATGCGCTTCTTCCAATTTTGAATTCGCTGGAGCCGAATTGAGGCATCACATGTCAACAACAGTTGCTCAGCCCACCTCTTGGCAAAGTGGACATCAACCAACGTAGGAAAGGCGGGATTGGACCAACCAACAGGTGCATTGAGGTCGCGAAGGGTCCAAAAGGCCTTAATGGCAGTACGTCGAGTAATGGTCTGATCATCAACTGTACCTTCCCACCTGGAAAGCCTCGTGAAGAGCTCTTGGAGACGGCCAACCAGTTTGGCAAGGCGCATGCTCTTAGCAGTGGCCGCGCATCTCGTCAACAACTGTTTGGGGGCAATTGTTTTGTGGGAGAAGATTGGAGGTGCAGCGCGCTGTTTCGGACCATCCCCCCAAGTGGCCCCTTTAGCAAGAATGGTTGATAGGAGGAAGTCATTCACAACAGCCCACTTGGCATCAGCGGTACTGGCACTAATGAACTGGGTTTCAAAATCACGTTTCCAATCAGGTGGTTCAAGACCGGTGGTGTTTTCGGATTGCATGCCTGAAAGATCAAAAGCAGCCGACTTGTAGTGGACAAACCCTCTTTGATCTAAAGACGGCCATTGGAAAACAAGTTGAATAGGTCTATGCTGGCGCCCAAAATGTTCCAGGACGGTGGCACTATGTAAGGCCGCAAAGGCAGTATCATTCACGAGCACGGCATCGATCGACGTGCAACTGTCCCCGGGTCCGGAAAAAAGTCCATCGTTGGAGAAGGTCAAGGGACGACAGACTTCACCATGTTCATCAACATGAGCGACAGGGTCATGCCAAGATTGAAAGTTTATGGCGTTAGAGACGACAGGATACGACGGTGGCGGAGCTTGCATGTCTCCCGCGATGATGACTGGAATCTGGCCAAACTGTGCAACAAAAGTAAGAATGTCATCAAACAAAGAGTTGTTCCACTCATGAACCTTAGTGTCTTGCGAGGCACCTGTCTGTGCGTACACCGAAAGAATCAGAGCTTGACGGTGTGGTGTGACTTGGCACCATGCCACAGCAACCCTTCTAGTCTTGAACAATTTCAAAAAGAGACCTGTTTGGTCCTGCTTGGCACAGAAGGGTTGAATAACAGAATCCGGTGCAGCAACGAGGGTGCCCCCACAAGGTGTTTGGGACGACTTACCCTTATGCCAACAAAAGGGAAGAAGT